GCATAAGCCCTTATAAATCATATGTATGAACAGCATCTTATATTACTGAAACTGTTTTGATGTAAAACCAAAAAGTCATGTATTCAACCCAAGGTGTTCAGATATAATGGGTGATATACAAACGTATAATATATATCATTGATTAATCAAATAACAAAAATCATATTCCTTATTTAGCCTGAGTAAGAACTGTATAATTAAATTAAGATTCTTTGCCAGTAAGAAGTCATTTATGGAAACAAAATTATTTTGAAGTTTGACTGCGTGGTGAATGCATTTCGTGAGTCTACTGAAAGCATATGACTCTTCATGTTTAAACACTAATATTGTCTATTAAGTCTATATAAGGAAAATAACCAGAAATATGACCTTACCTATTATATTAGACCATTGCCTCCCCAATAGATCATCACAATTAATAATAATGACTGTGTAATAACAAAATAATTTGATTAAGAATGATCACACCATCAAGTCATTAATTCTTTATCTGTGAGAGAGCTCAACTACCTTTGTGGAACAATGTTGAACAATGACAACATCCCTAGGGGATAATTATGGCTACCTGTAATAATAGCTGGGAACTAATGCATGATAATATCTAGCAAACATTACTCCATGATTTCATATACATGTATAATATACACAGCACTGCATCATATCAACATAATATCTATCAATTTTCAGATACACAATCAATCAATTAAGTCACACAATATGTAAGCTTATCTTGATGTATAATGATGTAAAGTAGATTGTATTTTTAAGTTCAATACCATGTTTTCCATGTTTATTATAGACATATGTGGTGGTTGGGAAAGACTCACTGATCTACAGATTTAGTGCTCATAAGGCATTTTGGTTAATGGGTCCTCTGAATCCAGTGAGGCGAGGTGCCATGCGAATACTCACTCATCCATATCCTTTAAAATGATAAATATGCAGTCTTTTCTGTATAATGCATCATGTTTTTCAGACAAAGTTATACCCCCAAGGGGACTATTTCTTTTTTGAGTTTGCCATTATTTTAGATTTGGTAATAACTCACTGTTTGATTTATACATCTTTAATTTCTCATTTGATCTTGTTTCATGTCTAATCGAAAATAAGAACTCAAGATGCTTTTGCTAATTCACTAGTGATAATTTTAAACAAAAACATATTGTAAACTTAATATAGCTCAATCTGAAAATATATTATACCGTAACAGTCTACAAAGTAGCATTCATATTTTTGGGGTATACTTTAAATTTTTCTTAACTAAGGCACATTGTTCAGTATGGCTGTGATGGTGACAATTTTGGCGAACTGCATATTCATGGCTCTCAGTAACCCACCAAAGGAATCTGAGTAAGTAGCATTGGGTATCTCACAATGATCCACCAAAGGCATCAAAGTAAGTTATATGCATAAGGGTACCCATATATATATACATTAACAACACTCAATGTACCTGTACCCACCGAAGCCATCAGAGTGAGTAATACACATGAGGGGACCCATAGATATACATTAAGGAGGGTACCCATAAATATACATTAATAACACAGTGAGTAATACACAGGAGGGGACCTGCAAAGATACATTAATGATAACACTCAATGTACCAACCAAAAGCATTAGTTGGTAATACTCTGTGTTTGGTAACTAGAAATATACATTCATAACACTCAAAGACAATATAACTGCCAAAGTCATCAAAATAAGTAAAACATAGCACTACCAATACCGTGTACCAATATAATGTGCATTCATGAGTTCATTGATCAACCAATCCAATTGGGTTATAACAAAAATACTATTGGGAATTTTAACAAAATTCAACATTACATCAGATAGAGGAAAATACTGTCCTCAGTGATTCAAAACTCTCTAGATAACTCAAATGTGGTTTACGCATTGAATTTACCGATTGCATTGTACTCACAATGACTGCCTCCTGCCAAATGAATCTGTGTAATTAAAGCCTACTATTAGCATGATTAGCAACAACATTGGCATGTTATAATATGATATCCACAATTTTATAATCGCAATTTTTTAGATAAAAGCAAGTTACAATCCTACATCATTGAAGTTTTCCTTAATTTACTTTCAAATTCATTGAACTTTTTTTACACTTTCTAGGTATGTATTTACTGCCATCTATACCTGTGAAGCATTAGTGAAGATGTTATCAAGGGGATTCATCCTCCGGCCATTCACATATCTCAGGGATGCCTGGAATTGGTTGGATTTCTGTGTTGTTTCCCTTGCGTAAGTATGGGAATGGGCATTTACTGGACAATTCTTAAATCTAGAAAGGGAATATGATTTTGATTACCGTATATTGTATTGCAGAACCTTTTCAGAGAACCAAGCTGGTGGTTAATTAAAACATGTTACAAAAAACATACCATATATACTCCTAAAGTATATAAACATATCAATGTGCCCATTTTTGGAAAGACAAAAATCTGGTGATCCAAATATTAATAAAACTTTTATCTATAAAAATGCAATGTGGGGTTATTTATCATCATTTTATATTATATATCCTACATGCTACATCAGAATTGAATATATAATATGGTTGGGGTAACAAATGTACTTACAAATGTACAAGTATATAGGTGTTACCCATCAAAATCATAAATCAAGATTTGTACTGTTGGTGGAAACAAACATGCAATATTTGTATAACATACTGTAATAAAATGCAGGTTTATTTCTATTTTATTATAACCTAGCAAAGCATGTACAGTTTACATCACACTACCATGTACTTTTAACTACTAACTTATGCATCAACCAGATACATCATCCTGTATATTAGGTATTAATAGTATTGTCTAGCTTAAAACATATGGTGCTTTGATCTTACAAAACAGGTGGATGCTGTAATGGTATGCACCAAGTCCAATGGTTATATCCACAAAAATATTGGTAGCGCATAATAAAGGTCTCTTTCAACACTTTCAGGTATCTAACAGAATTTGTTGACCTTGGAAATGTATCTGCTCTGAGAACCTTCCGTGTTTTGAGAGCCCTCAAGACTGTAGCAGTAGTACCAGGTAACTCATTATACCTCAATTTGACCTGTGACACCCAGTTCCTTGTTACTCATTTGGTAGGGTTAAGTTTTTTTGTGTGAAATACTGCAAAATGACATTTTAAACAAATACCGGTATGCCAATTAGACTTTTCTGGAATTACTGGGATTTTGTTTTCAATGCATTGTCAAGCCACTCTGGTAGGTCATTTGAGGTTAAATGTCATGTTGAATTCATTTGATGAAAATTCTGAAAACACTGAAAACATGTGCTCATGAAAGCACTACTGAATCAACTTTATAACCTTAATACAAAGAAACTAGCTATTGTTAGAAGATCCAGTTCCAATCCTGGGACTAATGCCAGCCCATTTGCAATCACATATTGAATAAGCATCTTACAGATGGCTATGGCATTAATGGTTGAGAAATAGGGATCGAAACCAGCCATAGTTTTCTCCTGATGACCATTGTGAATTGTTGTGTTTTATGGATAATGATGACGGCTTTGTGAATGGATGTTGACCCTTTGAACTGACCATGGACTTCGAGACAGAATTTTATCTATCCCACATCATTTGAGACTGAATACTCTATCTTTTATGAGTACTAGTATCTACAACTATTTTTGATGTTATGAGTATTGGCAATCATTTTTTCAATTTTTCTTCAACATGTATTGTAATGACTTCATTATGAATGAAATGTCCCTTGGTGTTCTGGTCCTGGATTGTGATATTGGTTCTCGATTGGAGGGGGGAGGGGGATGTTTAAGACATTGTTTCTTTTCATATAGATCATGGTTTTGGGATATATAGGGTCTACTTTTCTTAGGACAGATTTACACTTACAGTTTGCTTTTCTTGTTGGGTTTCTTTAAAGTTTTTAGTCACCCTTCCCTTTTGGCATTTGTGCTTATATATTATATATTGTAGGTAACTAATAGTTATAATAAAAATTACTTTACTTTGCAGGTCTGAAGACTATTGTCCAAGCTGTAATCATCTCTGTCCAACGTCTCCGTGATGTCATGATCCTCACCTGCTTTTTCCTCTATATCTTTGCTTTAGTTGGTCTACAGGTTAGTTATCTGCACATGATTGTCCTGTCATTTCTGCATCCACTATGGTTAAAAATAAAATCTAAGTATGATAATTTCAAAATAAATCAAAAATACATTGGATAATTTATGTTTAGAGAAGACAATAACCTAGGAAATAACAAAACAAAGACCATCAAATAAAGTCATTTGAATATATTAGAGTAACAAAATTCGTCACTAGATTGGCTATGTATGCACATAATGATTTCATACAGGTATTTTTTATTTATTTTGTAGGTCTACATGGGATGTCTTACTCGTAAATGTGTAAAACATCCAGATTGGAGCTTCGGCTTGAACTACACTGTAGAAATAGCTGAACTTAACAAATCATATCTAAGCAATGACTGTAAGTGTATTTGCTTCACAAACTACTAATATGTATAAAAAACTTAAGTTGCAGTTTACAAATAAGTTATATCTAAGCAATGACATTCAGTCCCTTTTCTGCACTTAATGAATTATATAAATAACATTGAAAACAAGATTATAGCTGCATTTCATGAATGAATCGTAGTACTTTAAAATAAAAGATCTTATCTTTAAAAAAGTGTATGATGAAGTCAAAGTCATGAAGGCAACATGATCCTTATTAAAGTTGCAAAAACCATCAATGAATGCATGGTTATTATCACTTACTAAATAACAGAATATTGAATATCATTAAGAAAATGCGACCACCTCTTTTAACATATTAACAAGACTGCATAAATATTGCTGGCCAGGAAGACAAATAGAAGGGTGGAATTTACCATAATTGTAATTTTAAGTATTTTTCCTTTTAGCAAACTGGCTTCCAGGTACTGCAAATGGTAAATATTACCTTTGTGGCAACAGCACAGGATCAAAGTAAGTGGCAGCATGAACAATTTCATATTTGAGCTACCAGTCACCATACACAATTTTATGATATATCAAATCTAACATGTAAGTCAAGGACGCTTATCTCAGATATTTAGAGCCTTTAGTTATTAGCAATATAAACATCGAAGAAAAATTATAAAAGAAACACAAAGAAAAGAAACACAAAAAAGTTAGGGCTACAGGGTGCATCATTCAAGGACTGGGTCATTGAATTATAAACAGACCAGTTAGCGAGTTGTTTCCCTATATATACTGTAAAATTAGCCTGCTGCAGGCCTGTCAACTGTCCCGCAATTTGCGTATTTGTCACGCATTTGCTGAAGAATTTGAAGTCACGCCAGTTATTTTTGCGTGACAGAAAATGTCACGCAAATACGCATTTTACCTGGTAATTGTCAAGCAAAAAGATTTCTGTAGAAAATTTTCTAAAAAAGATCGTCTACACAGCAAAAATACGAACGTATTGTACCAACCCCCCCCCCCCCCCCCCCCCGTTGATGGATGTTTGAAACGCGAGCGTAGCGAGGTGTTCAAAATTTGGCAAGATGTAATAAAATTGAAACCAAGGTGTTCAAAATTTGGATCAAGGTGTTCAGATTTGGACCAAGGTGTCCACATTTTGAGGGGAGGTGTTCAACATTTCCAAGTCACTCATGTTAGGTGTTCCCAAGTTGACAGGCCTGCTGCTGTGATAGTGAAACCAATCCAAAATATCAACAATGGCAAACAATGGATTCACAATATAATGCATATGTACATCTATGCACTATACCTTTTTTCAGTCTCTGCCCAGAAAACTACACATGCGTCTCCAATATTGGTGAAAATCCTAATTATGGTTTCACAAGTTTTGATAACTTTGGCTGGGCAATCCTATCCTCTTTCCGCCTCATGACACAGGACTTCTGGGAGAATCTTTATCAATTGGTAACTATTTCAAACTTCTTTTCACTCATCTAGAATGGACATTTATACAAAGAGGTATATCAAATGGTACAATAATCAATTCACTCTGATGGTAAACTATTAAATAAATATGCTTTTATAATTTTCCTCAACAGTAGATTTGACTAGCATGATTGAATTAACTACATCTTTAATATTCTCAATAAATCATACAATCATTATCTAAGGTGATAAGATCAATGGGTCCCTGGCACATGTTATTCTTCATCATGGTGCTATTCCTTGGCTCCTACTACCTGTTGAACTTGATTCTGGCTATAGTTGCCATGGCGTATGATGAGCAGCAAAAACAGACACAGGCTGACATTGAGGAGGCAGAGGCAGAAAGAAAGGTATGGGCCATCACTGTGTACAAGACATCTAACAAGTAATAAAAACAAAACCTAAAATATAAAGATATTGCAAAATATACATTGTAAAAGTTAACAGTCAACCTTTTCAAAAGCAAATCTTTCAAATCTAATGTAATTCGATTGTTTTAAAATAAATTATTAGTCCAGGATTAGACATAAAATTAGTTAAGCTGTATATAAAGGTGATAACAGATGCGTTCAATGTAGGACCAAGTGGAAAAGAAAGAGAGGGTAAGGGGCATATAGGTGGGGCCACATACTGGCCAGAGAGCTGAATATAAACAGCTGCACCTAGCTGATAGGTTATACCATAGTGACATCTGCTATATTAGCTTACAGCTGCTTTATACTCCTACTTACCTTAAAGATCTTATGTAGATCAGAAACAGGTGGAGGGCTCTTCTATTCCTTAACTCGAAATCTTGTTCAAGGGTGATTGTTCAACGTGACCGAGGATGCAACATTGATTATTGAGCCATTTTTTTTTTTTCATTTTTTGTATTTGGTTTTACAGCATCCATAACATACAAAATTTAGATTATATTTTTTCAGCTGAAATTGCACAATTTGCCACCATACTCATTAACTATAAAATGTTGGTGAAGTAAATCATCCATTTTTGTTCAATATTATTTTTATTTTAACATTTCTTCTTTAGCTCTTTGACATTCAGTTGCGTCATGACAGAAAAAAACGTGAAAGAGAGGTGAAATTTGTAGAGTGAAACATTCAGTAGACATATTCATGCATGATACCTTGTCACATTCTACAGGCAAGCTAATACCAAAACCAACAATCACCAGAACTTATGCCCTAAATCATATACTACAAATATAACTACAGATTAATCTACCTTTTATTGCACATGTGTGGTAGACGTGTTAGCATCATACCCCATAGAATCACTTAAGAGTTGTTACACTTTAGAGGACCCTTTTAGATTACTTTACTACTAAACTAATACATTATGGTACCTACAGATACTAAAATCTAAAAAGAGATTGCAGGTCAACTATTTATACTATCAATTTGATAATGAAAATTAAAAATGATTTCATTAGCCACTTTGCTATGCATGTTGCCAACGCAAAAAGGTTCATGAATAATAGACAATATAGTTCTGACCTTTTTCAATTTTTATATTTCCTAGTTTTGCAATTAACCAATTGCACAGATTTACAGCCATAAGTCTTTCCTATTGCACTGCTTTTTGGGTCAATTAATGACACATTTCGATAGTTGTTTAAGTGTAATATGTTCAGTAGTAGATTAGTATCGAATGTAATTATTAATTTAATAAATCTTTTCTAGTTACATACCCTTTAGAGATTTTTACATATCTCATCTATACTTTAGGACATAGTATCAAAAATGTTGTATTTGTAATTTTATTGATGTTGTATTTACAAATCATATTTTGGGGTATCTGATAAAGGCTTAATAACAACAATGATTATGGACAATTTACTAGAAACAGTGTATGAATGAAATACTGTTTCAAATACGAAGTCACTAATTTTATAACTGTGTTGTACCCCAATATGTTGTAATAACTTTATACTAACATAGCAGGCAATGACAACACAAATGTATTTTAGGAAGAGGCAGCTCGTAAGCAAGACCTTGCTGATGCGAAACTTGAAGCTGAAGAAGAGTTAGAGAAAGCCAAGGATCCAGATACTGGTGAGGCATGTGAAGCTGATGATGATAGACTAAGCGTCACTCAGCCACCAAGTACTAAATCAAGTCCAGGAATGGGACTTAAACAAAGAAAGCACTTAACACCAAATAAGGTACCTATGAGGACAGCTAATCAGCATGAGAGCCAGACATTAAAGATACACCTGTACAATTTTCACACCAGAGGATGTATTGTAAAGATTTTAGCCAGCAAAATATAGTATTTGTCTAGCTAGTAGGATAATTGTAAACATACAGTTCTTCAATTATATGTATAGTTGAATATTTATATCATATACCATTTATATTATTAACATCAATAATCATGACTTTTACTATCATTATTACAATTATGTTTTATAATGCTATTGTTGTTCTGTTGTGACACTACATGTATTTGGACCATACCTATAGCTGGTAAATAAGCTATAGCTATAGTCTATAGCTGGTAAATAATACAATTATTCTTTTTTTGTATCAGGGTTAGCATTGTTTTTGTGAACAATTAAAATCCTTCTGCATTGTCGTTAGATTTTGAAATTTTATTCCAGGTCAACAGTCTTCCTGCTTCACCAAACTTGAGGCCTAAGAATCTACAAGAGAATATGAGACTTTCAACTTTATCATTTCCATTTGCTGATGACTCCAATGCAGTCACACCAGAAGTACAGGAAATGTACCCACCACGCTCAAACTCAGTCAAGAAACGCCAATCTTGGAAGAAGAAATTTAAGTTGCCCAGTTCAAATATATCGAACAGCAATACATTTGATGCTATGCTTGCTCAACCTGATGCAATGGAGATGGAATCATTAACCGCTGCATCCATGCGAAGTAAGTAACATGAATTTCCTGCATGACACAGCCTGCTTCTCTCGTATTGCTTTCTCTTCTGCCTTTACTTCATAATTGCCCTTACTAATACCAGATCTATTCTTGCTACATAGGAATGACTAACAAACTTACTTAATTGTATGTAGAAATAATAACAAAAGCAGAATAAATCAAATTACTAACACATACCCTTAACAAAAGAGGTCATGGTGATCATGCGAAGCACAATAGGTTTAAAATGGTATTATATTGGAGGAAACAACATATCAACCAATAAATCCAACAAGCCAGCTTTCTGTTTCACAATGTAAAAGATATATAGCATTATAGTATGTAAGAAGAGTGGTGCTAATGGTGATCACCATGGTTGTTTTGGGAAAGGTTGCTAGGTAACACATGTAATGCATGTATGCACCTGCACTCTCACAGGAAGCTGCACTGTTGCACTGTTGGTTGATGCTCAGCAAGGTCGTACAAAAACTGAAAACCTAGACTTTCTCTTTAAAGCCAAACATACAAGTAAGCAATGGCCATTTCTTTGTAATGCATGCCTCTCTTTTATTCCCTTTTATTTATTTATGTGAGCTACTGACTTGATTACTAACCTAACTCATGCATTGATCACATTGAAAATGCTGTAAGCTTCATTAAGAGTGTTTAAACAATAAACTTTGAAAAACACAATACTGATAGATCAGTTCTATATAATGTGTCACTACCTGCTTTCAGTAATGATCCTTACTTTCTATTTATCAGGTTTGCCACAGGAGCCAGACGAAGAGGAAGATGAACTAACTAGAGGTGAATACATAGTGAAGAAGCTAAATGATACATTCTGTGCATGGACCTGCTGCCCATGCTGGTATAAGTTATCAGAGATATGCCACATCTTCATATTTGACTGCTGGGTTGACTTGTTTGTATTGCTTTGTATCATTGCCAATACAGCGTTTATGGCTGCAGATCATCATGGTATGACAGAACAGTTTGCTTACACACTTCAAATTGGCAACTATGTAAGTATTGTTCCACTGTTGCTCATTGTGTTTTAGCATCATTGAACAAGCATAGAGCATTTACTATTGATACACTGGTAGTAAACAGTTTTTCAGCATTATAAGTTCCTAATTTGAATTTTCAGTTCTTCACCACTGTGTTTACTGCTGAGGCTGTGATTAAGTTGGTTGCGTTAGGCCCCAAACTTTACTTCAAGGATACCTGGAATAAATTTGACTTTACTATAGTTACTCTGTCATTAGTGGAGTTGGGATTAGCAAATGTAAAAGGATTGTCTATACTCAGGTCATTTCGTCTGGTAAATATATTTCCTAATTAATTATTTGATGTTCAGTACGAGTTTTCAGCGAGTTTTCAGCATCATCAGATGTCAATTAACAGCAATTGAATGTAAATCACATTAGTCTTCAAATGATAATGTACAAGTGGAATATTAATGTATACTTGGCAAAAATGAGTGCATACTTCTGAGCATTTCCTTGACAATGTTCAAAAATCAACATTTATAATGCACTTGTTTACTCAGGGCTTAATTATTGTAATATGATAATGTAAATTTTCAGATGAGGGTGTTGAAGCTGGCTAAGTCCTGGCCAACATTGAATTTACTGCTTGGAATAATTGGAAGGACATTGGGTGCCCTTGGGAACTTGACCTTTGTTGTTGGAATTCTTATCTTCATATTTGCTGTCATGGGAATGCAGTTGTTTGGACAATATTACGAACTGAACTACCATCGCCTAGGCTTAGATCAAAAGCCCCGTTGGCATATGCATGACTTCTTCCACTCATTTATGATTGTGTTCCGTGTTTTGTGTGGGGAATGGATAGAATCAATGTGGGATTGCATGATCGTAGCTGGTGCAATGTGTGTGCCATTCTTTATGCTGACAGTCATATTAGGAAATCTAGTGGTAAGACATTGCATCTAATTATAAGATGAGTACCAAACAAATAATAAAATAAGTTAATTGATAGACAAACTATTTGAATGTTTATGTAGGATGTACGTATAATTCATTTGCCTCTATAAAAGAGTTACATTCACATTACTACACAAACTAGATAAAAAGTAGTAATATAAAAGAACACATCAACATTTTCTTAATCACAGACCATGTTAAAACTGAATCTTGGGATATTTCAAAATTCCTATGTGAAACATTGGCCTTTTTGTAATTGGAGCTTTAGAACAACCTTATCATTTTATTTTAGGTGCTGAATCTGTTTCTGGCTTTGTTACTGAGCTCATTCGGAGCAGACAGTTTGCAAAAACAAGATGATGATGATGATGAACCAAATAAAATAGCTGAAGCCATCGACAGGTTTAAATGGGTTGGCTCAAAAATAAAATATGGTATTATGTATAGTATATGTGTGTTAATATTGAAAAGAGAACCAAACAATGTGAAGGCATTGAGAAGTGAAACTATTGAGATGAATGGATTAGAGAGGGGTGACCCAGATGGTGCTAGTGATAATGAGTGTATTGAGAATGGAACAAATGGACATAAAAGTCCGACAAAGTCTTTAAAATCTAGTGAAATTGAAACAGATGGAAATGAAGACACAAAAACACTGCTTCCACAGAGCAGAGACAAAAGCTCTTCACAGAAAAGCTTGAATGATGTAAATGGAATCATTATGCAAAACAAACATGCAATAGCAATAGATGATGAAAACAATGAGGCTATGCAAAATGATATAGATAGAGTATCTGAGAAGTCAACAAAAATTGAAATTGAAGATGGTTCTGATTCTAAACATGATGGAGATAATACTTCTAATGATCTGTCGGTTAATGAGGATACTAAACTTAAGACAGATGATGAGGCTGATGGCACTAACAAGGAAGAAACAGAGATAGAAGAGGACAAAGACCCATTTGATTGCTGGTGTCCTGGTTGTTATGACAAATTTATATTTTGTCAAACATGCACATCAACTCCAATCGGTCAGAAATACTGGAAGGCACGTGTGTTCTCTTACTGGCTGGTTGAAAACAATTACTTTGAAACATTTATCATTGTTATGATTTTACTATCCAGTCTAGCTTTGGTGAGTATTCTTGATGTGTTTGTGTAAAACCTGTATAAATTTGGATTCAAAGCATAAAGAATTCAACATATTACAACACCTAGAAAAGATTTGACTCAATAGTGCATGCACATAACCACTTGTTCATATAAGATAACCCCTTCAAAATCTAAAAGAATTTTACTCTTGCAAGCAATATTAATTTTCAAATGGACATCCTTGCTCTATATTTTATGTTATAGCATTAAATGTTATTAAATGTACAGTATGCATTAATTGCATAATAAATATCTTTATTCCAGGCAATTGAAGATATACATCTAGTTAATAGGCCCTGGCTACAAACCACTCTTTATATAATGGACAAAATTTTCACTATCATATTCATTCTTGAGATGTTACTCAAGTGGGTCGCTTATGGCTACAAGAAGTACTTCACTGATGCCTGGTGCTGGTTGGACTTTGTTATTGTAGCAGTATGTACTAAATATATATATTGAAAACATTTGATTTGAAATACTTCAACATTACATTCAGAAACACAGAGGGTAAAAAATTAACAAAGAAAAAAGAACATTTTAGCGAACTAAAAAAATCAAGTAGTACAATATCAATGAATATATAAGCACAAATGCCAAAAGGGAAGGATGACTAAAAACTTTAAAGAAACGCAACAATATACTCCTTAAAAAAAGTTAAGGTTTACATGTTAAACCTTATGTATCTTTAAACTTTATTTTCTAAGCCTGAAACCAAAGAAAAACTGATAATGTAAATGGATATGTACCTTGACCCTATTCTCTATATTTCAGGGATTTTTCAATTTAATCTCTCTATTACAATAGGTCCGGTCAACAATTGATGTCAAAGTTGAGGAATTTCAAAAAAATTGCAGAACCCATGTTAACCAATGGGAAATGGTGGGTTAGGGGCAAATCAGATTTTTGGATATGTATTCGGTAAAAACATTTATCAAAACTAATTTCTGAGTAGACAATTGAATTGTTTTACTTTGAGCATGCTTTTTGTTAAGCTTACTTTGTGAGAATTACCGATATAGAGCATCAACATATTTTTGACAACTCATTTTGACACCCTGTGTTATTTCAATGAGAGGTTTTATGAGAAATGATATTGACTTTTGAGACTCATAACTTTGTAAAACCTGGAGAAACAAATCAATTTTTGTTGTAGACAGTTAGCAAATTCAATTGTCTATTTACATTCCATTTTTGAGAGCAATTGAAATTGATTGATATTTTCTTATATGACTTTTGGCAACCCAACCCAAATTTTCTGAAATACAGAGAATAGAGTCAAGGTACATATCCATTTACATTATCAGTTTTTCTTTTGTTTCAGGCTTTGAAAATAAGAGGTCAAACAGACATGAGGAAAAAGACTGGTCCTTAAATATTTTTGAGGAGTATATTTCTGTTAATGCAAATCAATGTTTTTCAGATATCCATAGTTGGCTTAGTAGCAGAGATGATAGGAGCAGGAAAGATAGGTGCATTCAAGGCACTTAGAACCTTACGTGCATTAAGGCCTCTTAGGGCAGTATCAAGATGGGAGGGAATGAAGGTATGTTGCCTTTCAAATATGGATTTAATCTTACCTTAAATCATTTACCATTCATTTTACATTAATGCCTCAAAAGTTACATCACCAACATAGACATAGTCTAATGCATCACATTGTAATAATTATTATTTCAGGTTGAGCCCTACGTCCTCTAGGTAGATCCAACTCTTCCATGGACATGGATACCCCCCCCCCCAATCTCTTTATTTTAGGACTGACTGTAGCTAGCTATGTGTATGATGTATGTACCCTGTTACAGGTGGTTGTGTTAGGACTAGTTAGAAGTACGCCCCCTATATTGAATGTAGTTGCAGTGATAACTATGTTTTGGCTTATCTTGTCCATCATGGGGGTTCAGCTGTTTGCTGGTAGGACATCTATAGGCCACATTTGACACCTGTCACCTAGTCACATGGGATCGAGGCATGACCACAGATCAGCATCACATGAATTAATCATCACTTTGATATTTTCAGCTATTAAATAGTTCACTAACATTAGAATCAAATTGTATAAAATCAATTTATCCATGAAAATCATTTATGACACTAAATCAAGAAAAAATAATCTCCAATAGTTTCCTCAAAGATCACAATAATTAACACATTCACAGCTTGGAGGAGATGATGTCATATGTCACATTTTGTAGATGTTTTGGTTTGTTTTTCTGTAGGTAGTAGTGAATGCTTTGATTGGGGCCATCCCGGCTATCAGTAATGTAATGTTAGTCATCTTAGTGTTCTGGCTCATCATAGCTATAATGGGTGTGAACCTCTTCCAAGGTGGGTATATATGCTACACAACCCCCTGTCTGCATGGTGTGTTGTCCCAACATTACATTATTGGATAAGTGGCGTTACTATTTACACATAGCATGGTTATGGCTTTCGTATACAGCATTGTTTTGTGGTGCGAAGATTACATGTTTTTTGATCCATATTTTAAACCTTTTTTATATTTCGATTATATTTTTCAATATTTTATTTCAGAGCTATAAAAGGCAACTTTCTGACATGTAAGCATCATAGTGTGGTTGTATATTGTCAACCTGGTGTTGAATGTTAGTACAGGTGTAAGGCAGAGTGTTAAACAGCAGCCCCCAATATAGAAAAATGTTATTCTCATAAATGTCATGTTGGTCATGTTTCTACATCTTAAAGAAAGAAATTGGTTAGTCAAATCAAGGGCGTTACAATACCCGGGATTTAATGGGTTCATGCAGTACATGTTTGTGATCGTACCCTCTGCAGGCCACTGCGCTTATTAGGCTGTAGTAATAAGGGGTGGGATATGGAATTTGGGTGCAGTTTCTTTCCGTTGATTACGCTATGAATTGAAGCAAGTGTGACCACTTTATCCATTTAATTAACTTGATAATTGATTAAATCTTCAAATAAAATCGATAAATCTGTTATACACTTCCTATCTCTTGAGATATTAGCACTATTTATCGGTTTGTGTTTTCGCATGATGTTCGACCCAAGCCGATGGGGAATTCCTTATGTTAATTAGTATGACGTCATATTTTCCTGGGTTTCAAAGCCCCAGTCTTTTATTGTGTCAATTGTAAACGTTCTTTTGCAGACAGAAACTTCTTAACTTTCAGCTTTGATGTTTAAATATTTTATATTTCTACCAGACTTCTTGCTGTATATCATATAATGTTATAACCTGATTTTGATGGAGGTTGAGGTTTGAGGGTGGGAAAGTTATCTTCTTCCAAGCCCTCTGGAAATTCCGGTAATTGGCTAGAGACTTGAGTAAGTGGGAAGTAGAACCAGAACAACGGCAACGCCAAAGCATAGCGAATCCCATCGAACATTTTTCGAAACGGGCACCTTCTACCAAAAGTGTCATTAGACAGTGTGCCATGCTTATAATATTCACATACCAAATATGAACAAAATCGCTCCACTACTTTTCGAGTTATAGTAAAAAACGTTAAAATGGCGGCCATTTTGAAAAATGGCCGCCTTCTACCAAAAGTGTCATTAGACAGTGTGCCATGCTTACAGTATTCACATACCAAATATGAACAAAATCGCTCCACTACTTTTCAAGTTATAGTAAAATAAGTTAAAATGGCGGCCATTTTTCAAAATGTCCGCCATTTTTCAAAATGTCCGCCATTTTTCTAAATGTCCGCCTTCTACCAAAAGTGTCATTAGACAGTGCGCCATGCCTATAGTATTCACATACCAAATATGAACAAAATCGCTCCACTACTTTTCGAGTTACAGCAAAAATCGTAAAATAACGAGTAAAGGCCAAAAAGAACTTCTATCCCCATAGAGTATATGTGTACAAAATATGAATAAAATCGGGCCAACGGTATTTGAGTTATTGCCCGGACGGACGGAGGCGTTCCCTATATCCCTCCGAACTTCGTTCGATGGGATAATAAAGGATGGACGGGGCCAGGGGTGGCCTTACCAGCCCCACCAATCCACAAGCATACACATAAGAGACAAACACACCCAGGCTCCAGGCCGTGGATGGAAATATAAAACTATTTAGGGCACAAAATAGTATTTAATAGACCGATAGGTAGTGAATCCGCCATGTATTGAAAGTAAAAAATCTTCATTATTGTTTCTTCTATCAATACATGGATTGTGCAATGGAAAAGCAATGGCACAATCAAAAATGTGCATATCAATCGTGAATATCTCTCGCTCGGTTCAAAGCTTGTTTCCAACAGAAGAGTGTCAAAATATGTATCTGAGTGACAGTTATACATTATAAGATCACAAACTCTTACCAATTATCAGCCGAATGGCTCATTTTCAACGAAATGTCCTTAAGTTGACAGCCCCGGGTCACGCCTGTGACGAAAATAAGCTTGAATATCCATCCCAAAATAATATTGGATAATCACATCAATGTGTGCGCGCGCAGGTCATCCACTGAACGAAACGCCAGTTCCCGCTGGAATCACCGGGTATTGATTTTTCCCTTGGTCAAATACAAAAGTATTCTAACTACAGAGTCATAGAATTTGAGTAGTCAACCGAGAGTGGTCATTGGAAAAATTGTACTGGCAAGGGCAGCTATTTCATTAAGATATTACTGAGTGAAACAACCATGACCAACATGAAATCCAATGGATATGGATAGATATATTGCAAGATTGGCAAAAGGCTATACATTAACAAAAGCATGTTGTTGCATTTTGTTGAATATTATTTTTAAATGATGCAATTTTAGAGAGTAGTGACTTCGCTTGTGAAAGCTGTACCTGCTATCGCTAATGTTGGTGGCATTATTCTGATGTTTTGGTTAGTTATGGCGATAATTGGTGTTATGCTACTGAAGGGTATTACAATTTACTTGATGTGTGTAGACATGTTTTTGTTTGTTAGAATCTACAGATGCAGTTTAAACAAGGCACAACTGCTAGTATGTTATTCTAGTCACCTATAGTCTGCACAAAACACAGGAAAAATATGAATCTTCAAACAAATGTGAAACAATTCATGGTGAAACATCCTCTGTTACATAATGCATTTCTTGTACAATTATAATTCAATACACAGCCTGGTTCGATGAGTATAGTATTTAGCTTACAATCCTTTTTGACTAATCTGAAAACATTGATGGACCCATTAACACTCTCTGAGAAATTTTTAATAAACTAAATTGAAGATTCATATTCTCATACACGGACTAGGGGTATTCAAAAAAATGTTTATACTTACATGTAATTATATAGTACTTTGTCATAATCCTCATTTATATATTAATCCTCATTTTATATTAATATTTAATATTTTAGCTTTGGTTATTTTAGGTATACAATGTGTTATAATTTGCAGCTTAAAATCATAATTTGTGTGCCTTGTTGTCTTAGTAATGTCTTTAGGTTTTACACTAAAACAGAGGGATTGGTTGTTAAATACAGTGTCTACTGTCCAGTGTATATGTTTGTTTTTGAACAAATGACAGAGCCATCATGAATTCCACAGAGATCTACCCAGGTTCTCTATTTGGATTTATTTCATGGACCCATATGTGCTTGTTCAAGTTTAAAGGTTTGCTTTTTATGTTTTGCCTGGCATGCTTTGCTTGCAGATTATTGTTAATGCCTTATTCCGTGCAATCCCAGCCATTTGCAATGTGGGCTTTGTCATCCTAGTAATGTGGCTAATAGGAGCCATAATGGGCTGTCAACTGTTTGGAGGTATAATTCTAATGATTAGAATTGACATAAACGAATAGCAAAGTATAAATAATTTAATAATACTATCTATATGGAAAAATGAATAAAAGTTAGAAGAGTATTTATTAAACCTGAATTATTATGGACACACATTTTTCTATAATTCCATGAATTATGTAGAACAAATTAACAACTTTTCTCCACTCAATGAAAATAGATATTACAGAGTGTTTATTTGTTTCCAAAGATCTTAGTTATCAGTTCAAAACACACACATAGAATTCATGATAGTATATTAGTATGGCTTTAAATATACTGTATAGTTTAGTGTAGTTGTAATGCACAGTATAGTAGCTGTAGTTCATTATAATAATGAAGACCTATGACTTATGAGGACTAAATCTTGTTTTGGCTTTATAAGAAAAATAGTATTAAGCAGTAGACTAGAAGATATGAACTTAATTGCCTTCAACGTATTAACTCATATCACCGCATGAAATCATAATTTCTATCTTAGTTCAAGAATATATATTTCATCTAGATAAAATGACATCATAATGGTAACCATATGTTTTATCATATTAAATAAATTATGCTAAAGTAAACACAATATAGTGCTATTTGCTAAGATCTAGTTTCTGTAGAACTCTAAACTTTATTTATTCTGTATGTGATATGTTGATACTTCACTACATCCTTTAGTATGTTATCTTTTTAAAGGAAAGTGCTGCTACACTGCATGGGGGTTGATAACTCTGATTATGTTTCACTTCACCATGCATTCAGAAATGTTAAAATACTAGTCATAATTTGTATATCTATTCAAAATATTGTTTTAATTATTTTAAAGATAGCATAATATTTGTGATTACATGTATTATTACTCTTGAGTGATTTATATTGTGCTTTTCTTTAGGCCAATTCTACAAGTGCGTGGATGCAGAGGGCAACAAACTCACGACTGATATTGTTGCAAACAGAACAGAATGTGACAATGCAACCAACAAAGAGCTCAACTATACCTGGGTGAACTCAAAGGTCAACTTTGACCATGTTTTCAATGCATATCTCTCCCTGTTTCAAGTGGTATGTGTTTTTATTCAAGATTCAAAGCATTTAATATTACATAATAATTATAGGGATAACTGAAGGGGAGTATGGGGGACTTTATACATAGAGTTTATACATGTCAAACAGACCACAACTCCACAGAGTAGAAAATCCCAAATGAACACTATATTCATGAATCTGTATATGTCACATGTAATATTAATCATTTATTCTACCCTTGAATAAATTGGCAAATATTAAAAAAAACACATAAGAGATATTACATATAAAGTATTATAACATACCTATGATGATGTATAGTGTAAACTGTACACTAGACAGAGGGCCAATATAACGTTTGAAAAGTCCGCACCCAGTAACTCTCTGATTGGTAAAGTGCTGGGACTACTTTCCCAACATCCGGGTACTTTTATTCCTGCCGAATTCAAAAACAAACAAAAATGGATTTCGCCAGAGGTTTCGACAATTATTTTAATCACAAATAATTTCATATAAAGGATCCTTTATGTAATGTTGACTAATTGACAACAATTTAATGCGATATAACTGTTTTTGTTAACATTTTTTGAAATTTAGTGCAATTGTTTTTTTGTTTTTGTTCCTTTTTACCATTTCTTGAGAATGAAATAAAATATCTTTCCGAAGCTTGTTTGAACAAAATAGCATTAACAACATTTTTTTAGACTTCCCAATACATGTATTATAGTTGTACAAAGGAAATTTTGGTTGATTGAACAAAAAGTATTCAAAAAATTAAAACAAAAACCCCCGAAATAAAAAAACTAAGATAAACCTTTTATTTCATTAACAAGATACTTTTTTTAGATCAACCAAACTTTCCTTTGTATAATTACAATATTGAGAGACATAATCATGTTGTGTTTATGTCAATTTGTTCCAATGAGATTCGGATAGATGTTTCATTTCATACCGAACATATGATACCAAGAACAAATGTGTTTTCTAAAACAATATAAAGAAAAGTATATATATCTATTTCAAATTATGTTGCTTCCATTCAAAAGATGACCATTAAATTGACACTGTGTAAAATTTTCAGAATTTTTTGATGACTGGTTTAAGAGAAACGTGTGTTCAAAAAGTTCGCCATATCGATACCCATCCTTTATTGGCGAATCGTGTTTATTGATAAATTTGTGTCCAAATTTGGTAAAGTTGTGTGTTAAGAAAAATTGCTCAATTAGGTTATCTTCAGTTGATCGGTTAGTTTTATCTCCAGTAGATCGGTTGGTATTCGCTTCAATATCGTTGCACATATGCCCTCGGTTCTCAGTGATCAATGTCCCTCCCAAGGTCGGGCCATATATCACTGAAAACCTGGGGCATATATGCAACGATAGTGACACTCTAAATGTATACTTGATTGCTTTGGAATTATGTATGTTCACTGAGGCTAAGAAGTATATCATGTGCTTTCAATTTCAGGCTACATTTAAAGGGTGGATAGAGGTGATGAATGATGCAATAGACAGCAGAGGTGTAAGTACATTGTACGATACTTACTGCAAATGAAGCATGCATGCCTTTTCAATTCCAATAACATTCAGTAATTGTCTGGTGATTGTCATGCATCACTGCAATGTAATGCTTCTTTTAGGAATTCTGAAAGTATATTGCAGCATAATTACATCATTTTAATCTGAACAGATTTCAAGAATTTATAATTATGAGTTACCAATTTTAAACACCACTATTTTGTTACACAAACAATGTCAAATATGTGTCATCGTATTTTTTAGGATCCAGCCCTTGAGTTGCAACCAAAAAGAGAGGAGAGGGTTTTTATGTACCTCTACTTTGTCATATTCATCATCTTCGGCTCTTTCTTCACTCTGAACTTGTTCATTGGTGTTGTCATTGATAACTTCAATGCCCAGAAATCAAAGATAAGTATTTATTTACTTACTGTTTCTATTTGACCTATAGTGCACTGTTGTTCTCTCTGTAGATGATGTATATTACTGTAAGAATCAGTATTCCATGTTGATATCCATCTCAGTATCCTTTAGTAATATTATAATTCGATGTCATTGTTTGACTTCATTTTCGGTGTGAACATTCTGCTATAGGTTCAGAACAATTGTTGATGTTGCTTAACATTTGCAGGTGAGGGAATGGTCAGGGGGCATAGGGAGTGGTCAGGATAGAAATGGAGTGATTAGAGTATACAGGGGAGGGTCAGGGTAGACAGGGTGTGGTGAAAGTAGACAGGGATGGTCAGGGTAGACAGGGGAGTAGTCTGAATATGTGTGAAATGATTAGGGTAGAAAGGATGTGGTCAGGGTGAATAGGGGTGGTAAATGTAGACAGTTGGAAAAAAGGTAGATATAGTTTACAGGGAGTGATCAGGGTAGATTATGAGTGGTTAATTTGTTTATTTCTTTACTTGAAATGTCCAATTTATATTGGAAATCATTATGCTTGAACCCATGCTAGTACTTGAGTAGTTTGTGATTGTTAATCATGGAAAAGCAAAAATGACAGTCTAGCCTTTCGGCTTATCTTAAATTTGCAAAAGTCTCACATTATGATCTAATTACTTCGGGAAATTGCTTAAGGAAATAAATGAAAGTTACCGTTTTCTCTGAAATTAGCGCCCATTCCCTAATAAGCTTCTACCCCGCTTCACAAAAGTTCAAGAAATTGAGGAATGACCAGGTGCAAAACTAATGGCTGGCTCTCTGTTCAATTTATAAGTAGATTTATGTGTAATTGAGGAAATAAAACTAAAACTTTTTAAAAAAATAATTAGGTCAAGTCATTATATTGAAAAGAATAATATCAATTGACCCACTGAGTAGTTGATGGAGCCATTTTGCATCAAGGAAGTGTGATGACATGTCGACGTTGGTCGCCATATTGTAATCCACGAAAGATGGTAAAATATACAAACTCAATAATTGAATAATTGAACATACTCATTCATTCCTGACAAAATTCAAATAATTTTGACAATGTAATGCCCCTTTAATAATAAGCTGATAAATACAAAATATCATCACAATTTGACTCCCAATTTTGAAGAGACTTATAAAGTTTGAAAATAACATCAGAGATTATCAATTTATTTATGATGTTTAATGACTTATTAATTGTAATTTCCAGCACTGATGTTTCTGATGTTTTACAATCTGACCATTGCCATGCCTTAAAAGTATAATTTGGGGGCTAGATCCTAAAATTTTGGCCCATTGCCATACCAAATGTCAAATGAGCTAAAAAGGTACTCCATGTGTGCCAAGGATCCCTGTCAAGGTTTGCATACAGTGAACCCCCCGGGATTCTTGTCAAGAAAAATTGCCATTCATGAAGTTATTGGGGATTTTTGACTTCTTTCATACAGTGTATATGGGCGCTTATGAGAATGGTCTGAAGAATATTTTTTTCAATTTCCTAAGCGCCCTGGGTGCTAATTACAGAGAATACAGTATTCATTCTTCTTCTCTATTTCACACTATCCATTCTTCCTTCTATCTAATCAGACTTGGTTCCTCAGAGGACATAACTAAATGTACTGTTTGTACTATATGTTGATTTATTTTCAGTGGAGATGCTAATTCTGTAAATGTTTTATTTTGTAAGGTATGACATGCATGGCTGGTTTTCTGCACAATATTTTCTGCTTTCAATTAATAATTGCACGATTGCAATTGATCAAAATATTTTCCGATCGATACGCTTGCAAATGCCATGTGATGTTTAAACTAAATAACTAGCACTATTTTCAATACTATTTCAATATATACTTGAGACCAGAACTTCCCACATTTTTATCACATTTATTCCTAGTATTCCAGGGAAACCCCTTCATGCTTAAAATGAAAATACAGTATGGATCTGAAAGCAAGTTAAGTTTGCTTGCATTAGGGTAGCGCTATACTATGATTTTATTTCTACTAATCAAATTATTTTGCACATAATTATAAAATGAAGGTAAACTTCCAAAGTGATTCCAAAATGTTAAAGTTGCTGAAACCGAAGCAAGTGTTTTTTTGTTAATTCTGAAAATTGTATTCTATCAATCATAACTTAAGGAGACCAAAATGATTAATAAAAAAGATTGAAACAATCAGGATATGAGATCATCATACATTACCCCACTGACCAAGAAATGACAAAATATAAAAGCAACACCTTCTACATAAACATTATGATTGCCTCAGAAGCCATTGTGTCAGGTATCGACAATTGAGAATAAAAAACGTTATCCTCCTTTATTCTGAATAGTTGTCCTGTACAGATGGATTGATTTCATTCATATCCCATTCAAACAAGATCTTAGAGTGACAACCAGGTAGAACGCACCAATGAACAATTATTTTCTTCCTTTAAATAATTCAAACAAATCAGTTTTCAAAGAAGTTAAGCATTTTTTAAAATTTAAGATTGAAATACTTTCATAGCGTAGAAAATAACCTAGACATTTTGCTGCATTATATTAACATTTTTATGACACCATTAAAAGCATGTTGGTTATTTTTCTAAAGACTAAATATAATTAGATATCATTTTGCTCTCATGAAATTAATAAATTAAAAGTTTACCAATGTTAAACTGCTAAACGGTAAACCTTGTACACTGTAATATGAGGTAATATCATAATATCAATATATTATATGATGACATTAATTCTATCAACTCATAGACTATTAAAACACTCTCACAAAAAACAAGCATGTTTTGATGTAGCCTAAATACATGTTCTATCAATCAACCAACCATGCTGCTGCATTTTATGTTGGTTAGATCCTTACTGTTGCTTTTGTTTTTGTACGAAGGAGGAATGGAGATCTTCATGACAGAGGAGCAAAGGAGGTATTACCAGGCCATGAAAAAGATGGGCTCCCAAAAACCACAGAAACCTGTTCCAAGACCTAAGGTACATATTTTTACACTCTGCATCTGAAGATAACACATACATTTCACCTTTAGAATGCATACTACTTGCATTTTGTTCATGGTGTAATATCTGATATTTTCCTAATTAGCTACCATGGAAAGCATATTTTGAAGTGAAAATAAGTCAAATAACAATTAATAAATCATTATAAATTCAAAGATACAACAAAATTAATCATAATATTAGCAAATGGGTTGTTTTAAAGTATCTAAGCACCTTATTTTCAATCAACAATAATGTATTATAAACACTTTATTGTTCATTTCAGTGGAGACCCCAAGCTGCTATATTTGACTTTGTAATGGATCAGAAATTTGACATCGCAATTATGGCCATCATCATGTTAAACATGGTTCTGATGGCATGCGAATACTATGACCAGCCAGATTCTTACTCCAACATTCTCTACTGGATCAACGCAGTCTTCATCGTGGTATTTACCATGGAGTGTGTGCTGAAATTGTTTGGACTAAGGCAGCACTATTTTAAAAGCCCTTGGAATGTATTTGACTTCATCATTGTTATTGTGTCAATTTTAGGTAGGCATAGCATTAGCTACTTATGATTTTTAAATCCAAGAAAAAATCCATTGACAAGACAATGTGTATATCTTGTTAAAGAGAATCATTATTAATTATTATGAAATGGTATAAATTCTAAAATTGCACACTCTAAGATATGTTATACATAACATCATTTTAATTATTTATTTCTGTATTTCAGCTTTGTTTCTTGCTGATATAATCGCCAAGTACTTCGTCTCCCCAACATTATTAAGAGTAGTGCGTATAGCCCGTGTAGGTCGTGTCCTGCGTCTAGTAAAGGGAGCTAAAGGAATAAGGACTTTATTATTCTCGCTACTTGTATCCTTACCTGCTTTAATCAACATTGGATTACTACTTTTCTTAGTTATGTTCATATATTCCATATTTGGTATGAACTTTTTCATGCACGTCAAGTATCATGCGGGAATTGATGAAATATTCAACTTCCAGACAATGGGGAATGGGATGGTAATTCTATTCCAAATTTCCACTTCAGCAGGTTGGAATTCAATCCTAGAAGGGATCGGAAACGAAGAGGACTGTACAACAGAGGAAATTGATGGTGTACCACCTAATTGTGGAAATCGTGGAATGGCTGTAGCTTATCTCCTCAGCTATCTTATTTTGAACTTTCTTGTAATTGTGAATATGTACATTGCTGTTATTCTGGAGAATTTCAGCCAAGCAACTGAGGATGTTCAGAAAGGATTAACTGGCGAGGATTTTGATCTTTACTATGAGACATGGGAAAAGTTTGACCCAGAAGCCACTCACTTTATACATTTAGATCAGCTCTGTGACTTTGTAGATGCTTTAGATGAACCTTTACGCAAACCCATTCCAAACTTTTATAAAGTGGTAACACTGAATATTCCAATATGTACAGAGGATAGAGTGTACTGCAAGGACATCCTAGATGCATTAACAAAGGACTATCTTGGCACAGGGGAGATTGAGCTAGATAACATAGAAGATGTTCCTGTAATAGTCCCTGATGTAGAAGGGTATGAGCAGATAAGCACTACGTTGAACCGACAGGTTGAGATCAATGCTGCAAAGAAGATCCAGAAGTTCTGGAGAAAGTATAAATATGATTTAGGTACCCCAGCAGGTACACCCAAAAAAGGTCTTAGTGACCTTGTAGTGGTTTTAATAGAGAATGGTACCAGAGAGGCTGCCAGTGACACAACCACGACACCATCAGACAATGGGTTGGACAGTGGTGTAGATAGCCTTAATAATCTCAACAAAGGATCTGACTTCATAGTATGATTTTAAGCCCAAACTACTTGGATAGCAATTACTATACTTACCACAATTGATTAAACAACAATATTGGTGGTTTAAGGTCAAATGCTTCATACATATGCTATATACAGCAATGCATTGATGTTGTAGTGTGGCACCCGCCGAGCAAAGCAAGATGCAATGGGCTAAATGCGCCACATCTGCAGTATGAGATCAAGGGTGACAATCAGAGGCCCTTTGAGTTTAAACTCAATTTATGGCGGGAAAATGTCAAAACTTTTTACTTTGAATGACAAGTATTCGTGTAATTGTACATTGTTAATTTTGGTGGTTGTACTATAGCTTTAACTCCTAGCATACTTTCATTTCAATTTTCTTATTCAGATTTGTGTAAATTGCTTACTCATTCCAAGTTTTAACCATTTATAACTACATGTTTGCGCAGGCATATGGCTGTATATAATTTAAATGCTCATTTCCTTAAAATATTGTAAATTACTGTACATTGTGTATATTAGTAGGCCTAGCAAAAATGGACATATAGGATTGACTTTCCCACAAAATATTCTGATCATTGAGAGTATTATAAAATATTTGAAATACCATATGCATAATGTACTTATTGAAAGGACAACCGATAAAACACTGTAAGTATTATTTAATCTGATTCATCTGTAGATACATTTAGTGGTACAAACATGAATTCTCTCCAAAATTTTTTTAAAAAGACTGTTACAGGAATCTTTCAAAGCTTTTCTGAGCTGATATAAAATTTGGAAAAAATGCAGACAAGGTGATTATATTTCTAAATAATACATACAGTGGTATGATATTGGTAAATGATATTTGCAAATGCCTTTATTGTGAAAGAAACTTTGAAGGATATGCTGGTGAATTCTCAAAACACAGGCTACATATTTTCATTCCTCAAGATTAAGATGCAATACTTTTTGCAGTAAATGAGCTGTGCAAAGTGCCCAAATGTTCAATTTTTGTAGTTAAGAAATAAAAGGTATGTGTAGCCAAGTGGGTAAGAGAATGGGAGAGGATCAGAATATTTTGACAAAAGCACTGGGGAGTAATTAGGATAGCTTCAATAGTAGTTTGCCGCATTGTGTAAATATCTTGGCCTCTTTTGCAGTAAATGTGTTCTTGAATTTTATTGGATATACTTCAAATAATCTTGCCTTACAAGATTGTATATTACATGAACAATCAGTGACAAAAGGAAAATTGAAAATAATCATTGGTTCGATAGGCTACCCATTTTGCACTTACATGCATAATATATAGACACTTTAAAATCATTCTATGTTAGAATCTGTAAATAATGTCTTCCCAAACATTAGGCTGATTTTTCCTTTTAGTCGGTTGAGGATGCAATTATAAATATGTTCCAAACCTTTACCATTTTATCAACTGATTCATAAGTGCAAACTGAAGAACTATCTTCATGTCTTTTATTTCCTTTTAGATGTTTTAACCCATTCGCAATAAGTTTATTTCTTTCAAACAATTAATATTCAATTCTCTGAACAATTTGTTAAAATAATTCACATATAATTTATTAAGTTTAACATCAGAAATCAGATTGTACATAAAATATTCTACAACAAATTAAAAGAAATCTTTAAGGTGGCGAACATGCTTACATAGTTGCATATTGTTGAATTTTTATACTTTCATTTGAAGTTATCTCTCAATCTTCTATGTCAGCATATACATTTTTACTGTTTGAAGCAAATAAATTAATGATAACTAATACTAAAAAAAAATATAATTTTTTGTTGATTATGTATAGTTCATGGAAGTAGCACCACTAATTAACATACATTAAATGAACTATACACGCAGTTGAATCTGAATAAAACCAAAGTATTATTCACACCCCGGAATAGCCTGACAACGGTAAAGTCAAATACCGTTGTTACAAATGGCAGACATAACTGTCGCTTCAATTAGATTTTCATGAACTGTATGTTTAATAGAGCACCTAGACTGAATTCCTTTGGAACAACAATCAATTTAAGTGTCTTTATACTCATTGTACAGTTAATAATGTTCTACCAATCGAAATACCACAGATCAAAATGAGATACGGGACAACGGACACTGTATTACCATATGCCATCTTTGTAAATTATATCAAATTCAGATTCTGTTGTCATTGACGATATCGAAGAGGCTATATTCTGGCGATTCATGACCAAATTTGATTGAAATTGGGATTTCATATGATACATCACCACAAGAGCTTACATGCACAGAATTAGCGACGATAAAATCCCATGAAATTAGGACCAAGTGATTAAAGAGTTGAAGCGACGGTTATGTCCGCCATTTGTGACAAGAGTATCTGACCTTACCATTGTCAGGCTATTCTGGTGTGATTCAGTTGTTTAAAAGTATTCTTAGTTCTTGTGAACAGATAAAACATGTGTTTAAAGTCTCTGACAATAGATGGAAATCATCCACATTTTTGTTGTAGTTTTACTACATAACAAAATTTCTGAATGACACATATATCACATATTACATCTATTGGAGTTATAGATGTTTCCCTGCCTATTGCACAAAGCATTGGCTTCATATAAGTTCTCCTAAATTGTTTTTTTTCTAATGTTCATGGTGCAACTGTAATATTCTTGCTCAATATGGTCCCATAGTATTTCAGGATTAGGTTAGTAACTGCATATCTATATATGTAACTGAACTCATGCAATAAACTGTCAACTGTGTTAGTCCATAATTAAAATGAACTTACATGATACTGTTTCACCATGTACCTTTTTCAATGAATTTTTACGTTTGATCCAACAGATAGATGAAACATACTATTCATGTCATACAACAAAAAACAATATGATATTCATCACAACTTTGGTACCATGTATGAAACTGTATCTGTTTTATAGTTCATTATCAATGGTCCTCACATTTAACTTCCCAGTTCTCGGGCTCGGAGTGTGGCAGCCTCGACAGCATCTATTAGAGCACCCCGGAATCCTGCCTTTTCTAATTTGTGCATAGCAGCAATTGTTGTTCCTGCTGGACTACATACGCCATCTTTTAATTCTCCTGGGTGTTTTCCTGATTCAAGGACCATCTTAGCAGCACCCTGTAACATATATAAAAATATTTTTTAAATACAATCCACCAAATCCCCAGAATTACATGTGTGTATAAAGTACAAACAAATTGGTTTTTTTATTCATATATTCAAATTCATATATGGGCTGATTCCCCCAGTCCATTGATGCTATCACCTTTCTACAATAGACCTTTCCAATAAATCCTGACCCCTATTTGTGAACCAAACTAGGGTATATTGGCTAGATTTATGATGTCATACTTTATAAGCAGCAATGTTTGTAAACAAAATTGAAAGAAGTTTTTGAAAATAAGCAATATAGGTAGTGAGGTAGCACCGAAAAATGTACCCGCTTCTGAACAAATTGAAATCACTTGTTTCTTATGTATTTTTATGTGATACTTCAGAAATTTTTTGTCTGACGCGCCATATCCGGGGCGAAAGTTGTCAAAATTGGGTTTTTGACCCTAAAAAGGAAAATTACAGGGGGTACATTAACATCATTGAATAATTCATTCAGTTAGTCTTCAATCATCATAATGATTTTATTGAGAGTTGATGAGATCATTTTAAGGTAGTATGCAAACTTTCAATGGTCTGTCACTCGTGGTTGCCATGGAAACCACAATTTTTGCTGAGAAAATCCTTAATTTTGGTAAAACCTGTACCTGTACATAATATAGAATGTAGATTATTTTTCAAATCAACAGATATCAGAACATTTTAGCACTCTAAAAATCACTAGGGCTGTCCAAACATTTGTTTAAAGAGAAAGAATATTGCAATTTATATGACTGGTAAGTGTCAAAGACCATACAATTACATAAGTGGTCAAAAGTGGACGTCGCCCTCATAATAGTAGTTGATTGCCATTCTCTATAAATACAGAGTTTTACTTGACTTTTGAGATACATTTATATTGAATTTCTTTGGTTATACTTAATATCAAGCATTTTTACATCTAAGTGTTATAGTTATTGCATGGGGATACAGGGGGGAGGGGGGGGGGGTAGTAACAGAATTGGGAGGGGGCAGAGCTTATCAGCCTTAAGTGTAAATCTCATCTACATGGTTCTAGATTTCATAGGGTACAGCTTCTGGGTCTTATAATATTCATCTCAATATATAAGATATAAATTTACATGGTTGGTAAGTGTCAAAGACCATAGAATTACACATGTGATCAAAAGTGGGCGTCGCCCTAATCATAGTATATGGTTCATTCTCTATAAATACAGAGTTTAACTTGACTTTTGAAGTACATTTACTTAAAAACACCTTTGATTTATACTTAATGTCAAGCATTTCTGGTAAGTTATATATGTACATCTAATTGTAATAGTTATTGTCTGGGGGTGGAGGAGGGGGGGGGGAGTAACAGAATTGGAAATGGGCAGAGCTAATAAGCCTTAAATGTAAATCTCATTTATTTAGTTCTGGATTTCAAGGGGTGCATCTTGTGGGTCTTCTTCACTTCTGGGTCTTCTTCATCTCAATATATGGGATATTTCAATTTACATGATTGGTAAGTGTCAAAGACCATACAATTACATAAGTGATCAAAAGTGGGTGTTGCTCTAACAATAGTAGATAATTCATTCTCTATGAATATGGAGTTTAACTTGACTTCAAGATTTATTTTTTATATTAAAACTTCTTTGATTACATTTAGTATTGTAATATTTATTCCCTGTGGGGGGCAAGGGGGGTAGTAGCAGAAATGGGAGGGGGCAGAGCCAATGGCCAGTCAGTCTTAAGTATTAATATCATAGGCTGATCATTTTCATAAACCTCCCGATGTTAATATATTAACAATATCATGTGGGAGAATATACCACTACACTTTCAGATTTGAGAGTCATTCAGTTGAGTGTATCTATATGGCGCTCCACCTTTGCCTTTTAAAAAGGTGCTATTGCCCCTTCTGCATGGCACTTCATCTGTGAATGTGTGGAGTGCTAGGAAGGCTGCATATATGGGTGCCCATATATGTCAGGGTCTATATTGGAGGAAATACCACTGACATCAGTCTTCATTTGTTTCCAACTCAAATATCCAGCAGCACACTTTGCTGTATTTGCTTTTTGTTTTCATCATCATACAAGAACTAATTCCAATCTTTAGGGACTCGTGTTTTTCTACCTTAAATAGGGCAAGGTGTCCCTCCCCTCTTTCAGGTTCCTTTATAGAATTTTTGATGTAATTATCACATACAAAAACGAATCAATCTGCAATTGTAGAATCTTGAAACAGTCTCCGCCAGATCCAGAAACAAAACTACCTTTCAAGTTGAATTATGGTTTGGGATAGTTGGGGTTTGTTTTCCTTATGACTTGTATACATTTAGAAGTTTTCTTTTTCTTGCTGGGTTCTATTACAAATTTTGGTCCTTTCCCTTTGGCACTTGTGGGTACATGTTCATGCATAGGGATGCGTTTCTCTGTTCTTGCAAGAAGTCCAGTCAGTGTTCCTAGAGCCCAAGGCACAGGGCTCAATAGGAACTGCAGGAGACATTCTAGGCTAATTTTATGTTCTTAAGCAGAACGAAGCTGTTCAAAGATGTTTCATTCAGAATGTATTTGTATAAGCTTGTTCTGAGTACTTTTTTACTGTCACTGTCACTGTTGCTGCTGTAGTTTGCTGCTATAGTTTTCAATTTCATATGTTTTATTAGATCATAAAATCTTTTTTTCAACTAATCTCAGATGGCATCTCTTCATGCAATTTCCCCTTTTGACTAAAATTAGATGAGATCTGCAGCGACATCATTTGGCACAGATTCTCCTTATGATACACCGTAGAGATGACCTTCATCGTCAATGGTAAATGGATCAAGAAAGTCTTTGATTGCGGTTTTTGTCATCTTTATGTCTTCGTCTATACTTGCTATTTGTGCCTTTCCAAGGTCATTATGGGTGTCACACTCATCTCATCTCTAGATAATTTTCCTAAGTTGGTCTAATGAATGACTGTCTGATTGTTGTAACCATCTCATCCATATAAAGCACTTATTGTCTGTATGGCCCATATTGCAAATCCTCGTAGTGAACCACCAGATGGACTTGAATGGAAACTAAATGGCTCCATATCTTTCCAGTGGGTATTGACTGATATTCTCATACAAGAGATTGGTGATATAGCAACACCAGGAGATGAATCAGAAAACCCCAGAAAATGTACCCTATGAAATCCAGAATTAAAAAGATGAGATTTATACTTAAAGGCAGATTAGATCTACACATTCTAATTCTGTTACTACTCACCCCTGCCCAAATGTAAAAACTATAATACTTACACAGATGTATTTACCAGAAATGCTTGACATAAATTATAATAACAGGAGTTCAGTATAACTATGAATGTATCTCAAAAGTCAAGTTCAATTTTGTATTTATACAAAGAACCAATCATCTACTATTGTTAGGGTGACACTCCTTTTGATCGTTTATAAATATGTAATTGTATGGTGTTTGACAAATCCTGTAAATTGTCATATCCCATATATTGAGATGAATATGAAGAAGACCCAGACGATGTACCCCATGAAATCCAGAACTATGCAGATGAGATTTATACTTAAGGCTGATTACCTCTGCCCCCTCCCAATTCTGTTACTACTCTCCCCCATCCTCCCCCAGGCAAGAACTATTACAATTAGATGTGCATTACTAACCAGAAATGCTTGAAATTAAGTTTAATCAAAGAAGTTGTAATGTAAATGTATCTCAAAAGTCAACTTAGACTCTGTATTTATAGAGAATGAATCTATAAGGGCGACGCCCACTTTTGATCACTTGAGTAATTCTATGGTCTTTATACTTACCAATGATGCAGAATTATAATATCCTATATATTCAGATGAATGTGAAGAAGACCCAGAAGATGAACCCTATGAAATCCAGAACTATGTAGATGAGATTTATACTTAAGGGTGATTAGCTTTGCCCTCTTCCAATTCTGTTACACCCCCCCCCATCTACCCCCTCCCCAATGCAATAAGTATAACACTTACATGTACATTATTTACCAAAAATGCTTCATATTTAATATAACCGAAGAACATCATTATAAATATATCTCAAAAGTCAAGTAAAACTCTGTATTTTAAGAGAATGGCAATCATCTACTATGATAAGGGCGACGCCCACTTTTGATCACTTATGTAATTGTATGGTCTTTGACACTCCCCAGTTAAGTTAATTGCAATATCCTTTATATTTAGATAAATGTTTGGACTGCCCTTGTAATTTTGAAAATGCTAAAATGTTCTGATATCTGTTGATTTGAAAAATAATCCACATTCTATATTATGTACAGGTACAGGTTTTACCAAAATTAAGGATTTTCTCAGCAAAAATTGTGGTTTCCATGGCAACCACGAGTGACAGACCATTGAAACTTTGCATACTACCTAAAAATGATCTCATCAACTCTCGATAAAATTATTATGATGATTGAAGACCAACTGAATGAATTATTCAATGATGATAATGTACCCCCTGTAATTTTCCTTTTTAGGGTCAAAAACCCAATTTTGACAACTTTCGCCCCGGATACGGCGCATCAGACAAAAATTTTCTGAAGTATCACATAAAAATACATAAGAAACAAGTAATTTCAATTTGTTCAGAAGCGGGTACATTTTTCGGTGCTACCTCACTAACTAATATTTTAATAATCCTATTTCTGCACTGAAATTGTAAGAATGACATCATAACCAATAGATGGCATGATTTACTGGATTGGTCTATTATAATGAAGTCTTTCAGAACCTTAGACAAGTACTGGCAATCAAATAATCAACTTCCTTTTCTGAAATTTTGAGCTGATTTTCACAATATGGACCACCTGTTTTTTATATGCTTGATACATAAAGAAGTAGTGATATTATTTCATACCATCTCTTTTTCAACTTTTCAATTAATAGTTTAAACTAATTGATGCATAAACCATTTCACATTTTTTATAAACAATATGTGTCCAAACTCACAAGCATGGTCTGCGCTGCAAGCTTTTGTGCCAAGTCTCTTGGTAGTCCCATTTTTACTCCTCCATCTGCCATTGACTCAATCGCGGCAAATGCCTGTAATTCCCAAAATACAGTATAAATGATTAAATGTAGACACAGAGTGTCCTAAAACTAACAAGATTGGTGTTGGCACTTTGTTAATTCTGTATCAATTGAGTTCATCTTTTCCCATGAACATGTACTGGGACTAAAAGTATGTGAAACAGCATTTTTATCCACAGACACCCTGTAAAATTGCAGGTTGCTACAACATCATTTTTGTGGAGTCTTTAGGCCATTGACAAAGGTTCAGCTCCTTTGGAAGATAATTAATTGATTTTACATGAATCTCAGAATACTTTAGCCTTATAACGTACTTACATATGCTGGACCACTGCCACTCAGGCCTGTGACAGCATCTAGTAGAGATTCTTTACCCTCCTCACATATACCTAGAATAGCATAAGAACATACAGTCACATCAGAACAGATGACTACTGCATGCCTATATTACCATTTGTCTATAATTCTCATACTGCAACATCCTGATTTAAACTATGAATCTAAACAAAAAATCTTGCTAGCTATGATAGTTTGAGTTAACTGTCCCACCTATTCCTGGTGCCTCATTCATGATAAAATCATTGCTTTTAAGTTAAAGGGATTTGGGGATTTACAAGTACATGTACAGTAAGACATGTGTATATTGAACATTATTTTGAAGAAAAAATGTTCATTGTTGGTAGGTGTTCTCTACAGAGAAATGAAAATCTGTAGAGTATGTGTCGATGAAGGGTGTCCACTAAAGACAGGTGTTCACTTGAGAGAGGTGTTCACTAAGACAGGTTTTACTGTGCAATGATGGCACTTACCAATACTACTGAGTAGTTCCGCAACAAGATCACCATCACCATTCTGTGCATAAGATCCCATGGCAAATACAGAGGCAGCTGACTGGACCAAAGCTGGTGTGTTTGGCATTACACGAATCACTCGTGTCTTCTCTGGTAAAAGCTGAAATTAACATTACAAATACAATACAGTAGAACATTAAGAACTGAGTCTTGATTAGACTTTGAATAAATAATATTCCTACATAGCTAAAGATTCTATATCACTTTCTGACTTATCAAAACAGTCTAGCAATATTTATCCACGCAAAAAAGTTTCTGGTAGAATTTCACATCTTTTTATAATATAATATTGTTCAAAATAGTTTGCTATGTGTGAAAAGAATTTTAGCACAAGAGGATTCAGTGAATTGTAGTGCATTTATTCATTCACAAATCAGAGAACTAAATCATTCCATTCTCATTACAAAATAAAGCACACACAAGAAAATCAAACATGAGCACAAAGAAAACATAAAAAGTTCAACATACTTTTTCTATCATCCCAATTTTTATCCCAGCAGCTATACTGAGAAATATGTTCTTGGTGGTGACTACCGGCGCCACCTCCTCTAGGACTTTGGAGACGTTATTTGGTTTGACTGCAATGCAGATGAGATCACTTTTAGCAACAACTTCTTTGTTGTCTTCTGTTGTATTTACACCAAGTTTCTGAAAACATAGACATATGGTTGGTCATTTATAATCAAGTTTTGATCCAAAATAAGGAAAATGTAGTGAAAGAACAAAAAATTACATGGGCTTGAGATATTTTCTAGTATTTTAGAGTTTTTTGTGAGTTAATCACACCTAAAAAAAATTAACACTCAGAGGATCACAGTGCAATATTATATGGAACAAGACCCAAAATGATAAATATCACACTCTGAAGAGCTAAATGGCCCCGTGCAATTTACCAAGCATGCCCAAAGAAAACCATAACAGATCTTGGCGTTAGTCTGCCCTTGTATCTGTAAAAAGTTCACACCAAGCACAAGACAATGACAATATAGCACTTTTTCAAACAATCACATTTTAGATAACTAACTTTTGAGAGGAGGGAAAGTATCGCAACAGATTTTGGAAAGTCATATGTTGGATTTTGGCTATTTTCTGAGGATTTAAACAGGTGGATCTGTTAGGCCAATGCATTATCTCCAGATTTTGAAACAAGTGAGATGCAAACAACCTACTCACATGTTTTGTCTGAAATGTTGTCCTGATTTTCAACCCCTTCCATCCCTGCTTTTTCAATTTTTGTTGCATCAATATGTTGCATTTTAAGACACAGTTAGACCCCTTTAAGGAATATTAAGTAATTCCTCTTCGATAAAGTGGAAAACAATATTTCCCATGTTATTTTCCCATTAGAAAAACTTGTGCGATCCATTGATTTCAGCTAATTTTGGTCACCCATAATGGATATCTTTGAAAAAAACAAGGAATCACTTATTCCTTTAAAGGGTTTAAAAAACATGTGTGTAGGTTGTTTGCATCTTCCCTGTTCCAAAGTCGAAGTCTCTATGAGTGCTCTTCCTGGAGATAATGCATTGGCCTAACATATGCACTGTCCGAAATCTGTTGCGATACTTTCCCTCCTCCTTTGTATATTTTAATGAGTTTCATGTGCAGTAAAGATGTGGCTTCTTGGAACTTGGGAAAATGTGAGGCCATGCTTCAAAAATAACATGGCAGGAAAGCATCAAATAACAAGATGTCACACATTTGCTAGCCAAACCACAAACAATCATTGTTATGAAAAAAAGTTAGGTACCTAGACTTTTGATTGATTATTTTTAAAGTTTTAAATATTTATTTATCATGGCTCAATTACCTGTATAAACCCTAGCATACTGGCATCAGGGTCACTAGCAACTATGTTGTTGGCACGTATCATTCCTGCAAACACAAACATAAGAACATTAGGCAGTGATTAAATTTTTATGTTTTTTTGGAGGTGACATAAAAACTGTTTTTATTTGATGAAAATGCCCAGCTATGAAAGAAACATAAAGTAGTTACATATATCATTTATTTGGATATAATACAGGGTGGTAAAAATGGAAACCCTGCCTTTTCCTCATATCTTTGTCATTTTAAGAAACTACTCCCTGATATTTCACACATTTGTAAACCATTAATTTTCCTACAACCCTACCATTTTCATGACCATCAGACTGATAGTCACAATTTTATAGCACTTTGAACAACATTCTTCAGGTTTGGCCATCATCGCGCTGTAGACAAACCTGCACAGTTGTTAATGATCCGAATGCATTCCTCAGTAGGAATGGCCTGAATGATACAAATGATCTCACTTTTGAGGTCTACAATTGTCCTGAGGTCATCCTTATACACTCTATCTCTGCCATATCCCCATAGGTAGGGACATTTTGGACAACATGTGCAGGTTGGTCTACAGCGCAAGATAGTGGCCACCAGGAATGTTCTTTAAAGTGCTGCAACACTGTGACTATCAATCTGATGGTCATGAAATAAGGTAGGCAGTGGAGAAATTGAGTGATGTACAAATGTGCAAAGTTATTTCTTAAAATGACAAAGATATTAGGAAATTGGTGTAAGGATTTCCAGTTTTTTTTACCACCCTGTATATATAAAAATTTCATTTCTCTAAATACTCAATACATGGGGTGGGACATTTCTATATTGCTTTGAATTATGCCATACTGAATTCCTGGCCAATAATACTTTCTATCCACCAGGCACCATTAAGAAAATTAATTATGTTGGCGTCAAATAAAGTCACTTTGTCTATGTCATCTAGGCACCCATTTTAAATTTTATCATTTATCCATTATCTTGTTCAAGAGGACACGGAGACTTTTTCAGGTCATGTCTTGATTACAGTATCCTAAAGTTAGGGACTTACAGAACAAAGGGCAATATCTAGGTATAAAACAAGTTTTGATGACATTAACCTACATATGCAAGTAAAGTCCAACTACTTTAATCTAATACTGTACTTTGGAATCATAGTACTTTGGAATCAGCACTTTGGAGCCTGCACTTTGCATAATAATCCTTTTACTACGAGGGGTGATCAATAAGTAATGGACACTTTTTTACACAGATGCTGTTTATAGACCAATCCCTTCGATTTTCTTAACAGTGATACATCATTCAATTATCTATCAACTCTGAAGATTTGAAAACAAAACATGTAATATATTTCAATATATCTTTATTTCCATGAAGGATGTATAGGTACCCCGGGACCGACATGACGTCAAACATTCTGAAGCTATTTTAGCGTGTTTAACATGCAATGTAGTTGAATGCAGGCTGAACAAAACAAACCATTATGGTCATGAATTACTCCATTTTGTTATGCCATAGTTGATTTTGAATATTTTATCATCACTGTGTGGTATTCATGCCACATTCATTCTACAGGGCCCTCTACATAGGTTCCATCAAGTGCTAAATGTACATAATTCCTCATCCTCTTAACTCAAGATTGTGAGACAAGGCAGAATCCATTCTCTGACATGGTAGCAAGATGCAGTTGCACGGGTTGTTTTATTTCGTCAATGTCAATAAACCGGCGTCCTTTCTCTATAGAAACCAGAACAACGGCAACGCCAAAGCGTAGCGAATCCCATCGAACAGAAATAGCTGGCATTTTTACAAACAAAACATATAGCAAATATCATAAAATAACACACATAAGAAAATTGTCATCAGAAGAAGTAATATGCTTTATAGTATTCACATGCCAAATATGAACAAAATCGCTCCACTACTTTTCGAGTTATAGTAAAAAAAATAGTTTAAAATGGTGGCCATTTTTCAAAATGGCCGCCTTCTACCAAAAGTGTCATAAGACAGTGTGCCATGCTAATAGTATTCGAATACCAAATATGAACAAAATCGCTCCAATACTTTTCAAGTTACAGCAAAAATCGTAAAATAACGAGTAAAGGCCGAGTAAAATACGTTTAAATGGTGGCCATTTTTCAAATTCCATTTTTTTGTCATCAGAAGAAGTAATATGCTTTTTTTTATAGTATTCACATGGCAAATATGAACAAAATCGCTCCACTACTTTTTTCGAGTTACAGTAAAATACTTTAATATGCATGGCAGCAATCTTGAAAAATGGTGGCCTTTACTCGTCATTTTACGATTTTTTGCTGTAACTCAAGAAGTATTGGAGCGATTTTGCCATTTAATTTTTTCAAAATGGCCGCCTTCTACCAAAAATGTCATTAGACAGTGTGCCATGCTTATAGTATTCACAAACCAAATATGAACAAAATCGCTCCACTACTTTTTGAGTTAAAGTAAAATATGTTAAAATGGCGACCACTTTTCAAAATGGTGGCAAATTTTCAAAATGGCCTCCTACCAAAAGTGTCATTAGACAGTGAGCCATGCTTATAGTATTCACATACCAAATATGAACAAAATCGCTCCAATACTTCTTGAGTTACAGCAAAAATCGTAAAATAACGAGTAAAGGCTGCCATTTTTCAAGATTGCTGCCATGTGCTATTTTAATTTCTACATTTCTAGGTTTATCAATGTCCTATATAATTTTTTTAAACTTAAAACATAATACTATCACAGTTTTACATAATGCACCTAAATTACTGTAAAATCAGCACTAAAATGGCCGCCATTTTTAAATGAGCGGCCATTTTGAAAATCGGCTTTTTAGCAGAACTTCTACTCCCATAGGGTATATGTGTACAAAATATGAACAAAATCGGGCCAACGGTATTTGAGTTATTGGCCGGACGGACGTAGGCATGGACGGACGGAGGCGTTCCCTATATCCCTCCGAACTTTGTTCGATGGGATAATAAGTAGTATAGAAATAAATAAGTCACACGTGAGCAGATCTGGATAATATGGTGCATTGGCCAAGGGCTCAATTTTGAGGTCCAGGGATATTGTTTTCTGAACATTTTGAGATCTGTGGGCAGGTGCATTGTCCATATGTGTTCCCTTCTCTCACCAACCCCTTCTTCCACAATGCTTTCTCAAATTGACCTGCAAACCCCTTCCATACAACACTCTAATATCACAATGCTTTCTGTTTATGTGTTACCAGTCAGCAGAATATTTTAAACAACACAACACTTGTTGCATATAAAAAGTTGAAATCTTACTGAAATTTGCCAAACTGGCTAATATGCGAAGTAAATGTTGGTCCCGGGGTACCTGTACCTCCTTCACGGAAATAAGGATATATCAACATGTATTATATATTTTGTATTCAAATCTTCAGAATTGATAGATAATTGAATAATGTATCACTGGTAGGAAAATCAAAGGGATTGATCTATAAAAAAAGTCCATTACTTATTGATCACCCCTCATATTATTGGTTTTATTTGATATTATTTATGATAAGATATTTGCAATTGTAAACATTAAAACACTATAAACTGTTTCATCGTGCTTTATCTCTTGGGATTTTTAGAGATGTACTATTAAAAAAAACAATGTCAGAATCTTTAATTAGTACCTTATAAAAGTAAAATCTGTACCGACCAATCTAATGTTCAGATAAATAATCAACAAATTCCATTACCTATTTTGACTGCAGACCTCAAAATGGACATTTTTAGGTCTCATTTTGGAGAAAACAGGGCTCAAATTTGTATACAATGTTCGATCAAAATTTCTAAGCAAAGCTCACCTCCGGGAATGGATTTCCCGGGGATAAACAATAATGACAACTCCCCCTTAAAAAAAGCTTGTACCTAAAATGTAAATGCCTAATGTAAAAGCCTAAAATGTAAATGCAAGAAAAGTTTTAAAATAATCTGGACTAATTTCAATGCAATATCCCAGATGCGAGTAGAAATAATCTTGATTTACGTCATTAAAAATTGCAAAATTACATTTAGAAATGTGGTTTTGAAAAGAGTTTATCAACTTTGAAAATTGAATTTTCTTTAAAAATATGACTTCTAGGTCGGGGAGATTGCCCATAGACTCCATGTTGTAAAACCACAAAAAGTGAAATATCTTTTCTTGTGTTGGGTAGATAATATTTTCTTTTACTGGACATATTTTAATTTGTATAACTATCAGATACATAAAGGCAATATGAAAAGCGAACCACTAAAACTAATGCATATTCAAGTTTAAGGGAAATTTCTAATACCCTGCCATGTTAATTCCCCCGAATCAGCCGCCTGGTGGCGAAACTGGTGACTACCTACTCGCATCTGAGTAATTGAATGATGTCATTTTCAAGTTTGAAAAACATGCACTGAAAGGTACAAGGCTGAAGTCCAAGCTAAATAAGTAGATGGAACAAAGTTTAATTTTTGGAATTTGGATCCTGTCATGCAGTAGCATAGTGCTCAAAATATGTTCCCAATGTGACATTCTCAAATGAGGTACCCTGATATAATATGGTACAGTTAATCTGAACGATCAAGTAAATACAAATAATTTATTCCATAATAACATGTTTTCCCTGGGAAAATAACAGGGAATAAAAGTGTTATTTGAAAAATCCCGTATCAGATCCCGTATCAGCCAAAATCCCGTATCAGATCCCGTATCAGCAAAAATCCCGTATCAGATCCCGTATCAGAAATATTCCCGGTAATTTCTCTTGAGTTTTACGCTTTTCGTCTAGCACATCTCTACAGGAAGTAAAAAAATCGTTTGGAAAATTGAAATTATTGAAATTATTATCATCTAGTTTACGTCTATTACTGTGACAAAGGATATTGTGTTTATTTTGCCATATTATGAGCCATTTTATTGTTATAAATTATTTATATTTTTAAGTAAAACTTGATAATAAAAGTTGAAAATGTTATATGATAAATTGTATAATTTTATGTCACAATCATTGGATGATGACATACAAAAATTGAAAAAAAATATTATGAAATAAATAGGTTATTGATGGTCGTGATGGAATATGGATTTATTCCTTGAGAAAATATGATATTGGCCTCAGAAAATATCATATTGACACTCGGGCTATCGCCCTCGGTCAGTATGATATTTTCCTTGGCCAATATCATATTTTCCCTCGGAATAAAATCCATATTCCATCCCTCCCATTAAATAACCTCTATCTACACAACTCCCAATGCAAACAGATTTAGCTGGTCCCAGCGACATTCTGATTAGACAGTTCAAATAAATAATAGCCTTGCAGCTCAGAAGTGAGGATAGATGCTAATTCGCTCATTTCAGGAAAATTTTGTCAAACATCAAATATAATTTTTTGGACAGTTTATAAATACTGTACAGGACTCAAATACATAATGACATTTTCTGGGCAATATTCAGTATTAATATGACTGATTCATAAATATATTATTTTTTGCCTATTATTCTGACTTAAAAATACCTGGAATCTACGTGACAGTCACTGTAAAAAATGTCATACCTGGAAGCTGATATTAAGACCAGTAAAAAATTTGTGGTCGACCTTCACACAAATACATTCTAAAGCTGTTCATTGCAGATAAGTTTTATTGAATGCAAGTTTTGTTTTATGTTGTTTATCATGACAAGTTGGGTACTCTGGAAAGTCAAAGCTCGAGGAGACGAAGGTGTCGACACGTTATACTGATCTGAATAAAGGTGGTAGAAATTGATAGTATTAGCATCCCTTGCTTCTCCTGTCAATGGAATACAAAAAACACATACTTCATAGGCAATTTTACATTTTTAGCTAAAAACAGGTTCATAAAAAACACATCAATTGACAATAAACGTGACGTTTTCATCCTATTCAAATGCAACAAAGGGTATATCATATTTGCCATAGATCATTTACAACAAATAAAGCAAGACGAGTTGTGGTTTATGAAATATTGCATCAGCCACAGACGTAAAACACATTTCCGTCATAACAACATCTGCACCAATTGACCTGAGGAAACTCCTACTACTGAAAGGATGATGAAAATGTGTCAGCTTGTAGGTTGAATGGGATCTAACATTTTATTAAAATTAAAATATTCTTTCAGATACATGTAGATACTTAACATTGATTTTTTATTAATAAGTTGAACAGCCAGTAGACTACAGCTAATTCAACTGATTGTATGAAATAACAAAAATTGCTATTTTATCAAAGCCCTTTCTCTTTTTGAGGATTCAATACAATAAATAGAAGGAACAAGGTGACCTACTTTATCAGGGGAGGGGAGGAGGCTGAATTGGCCAATCATATGAATAATTCAGTCGAGATGACATATGAAAAACTATCAACATGTCACAACAGAAATCTTGAAATCTTAATAGGACAAATTATTCAACATGGAGACCATACCTCTTTGAGATTTTTAAGATTTATTTCAAGGAAAACACAAATTATTCTTTGTCCTTATGAGAATGATACCAAGTCTATTCAGTTTAAGGTAGTTCTGTGTGTTCAGAAGCATTATTGGCTTCATAATGAGAGTTCCATGTTACTTTAAAGGACATATCATTCAATACATAGTCTGCATCTTTCAGTTTTGCACAAGTAAAGAAATGTACCTATATTATTAGTTAAGGAAGTAGAGTAATAGTTTAGGGTAAATAATTTAATAAGAAAACTAAGAATATTCAATGACCTACTTTGTACAAAAATTACAGGTTAATATAAATTTTCTTTTTAAATATCTTGGATATTTATTGCTCGCCTAATAATATAGGTAAACGGAGAGATGTAGACCATATATGTATTGAGTTAGTGTAACTGAAAATAAAATAGGACTACAAATAAGAAGCCATAACGTAAAACTGTATGTTCATAAATTAATAGGTTTCTAATTGGGAGTCCCATGTTATTTTTTACACAACCCATTTCATACATTGTATCAGTTTTCCACAATGAATACATGATATACTTAGATTATAAGTTGAGGGTAAATCATTTTTAACAACTTTCTACTGTATGAAAGTTTAGGAAATTTGATGACCTACTTTTAGAAAGTACAAAAACTGTAGGTCACTGAATTTTCTCCTTTTTAGAATACTGTACTCCTGGTAAATTTCGACGCTATAAAAGTTCGCGATTTTTCAAAATTGCAATTTCGCAGATTTGAGTTGATGACATTTGGCGGATTACACAAGTTGTATTGACGCCTTCTGATTACCGTGAATTAATGCGTATCTGGCTATTTTAGCCCGTTCAGAATCCGAATAATGTTTGTATTTCCCACGTTTAGGGCATTTATTTGAATATTCTTGTATGGCTTTTTCAACTTCAATTTGTAGGATATCATAATCGTCAACACTTCTTGCCTTTGTTGGCCTAATAAGCCAATTCAAAATATTAGACATTTTAGGCCCTTTTTGAATTATTGTTTACGCCGAACGAAACATATCAAAAGTCCCGGGTCAAATCCCCGGGGATTTAGAAGACAAATTTCGCGACCTAAAACTGTAAAACCGCCATTTCATTTTCAGATAAAATTTCCACCTTGATCGATAAAAATAGCAGTCTCGATTGCATAGCACCTGAAAGTTTTCTGTGTGTAGCCTAAGATTACTAGGCGGATAACATTTGGGGAGCAAAGGCTGAATAATCAGATCAGTCTAGCCTTTGAAATAGGTAAAGATTACCATTTTCTATCACTATCAAAACCAAAGGAATTCGTCTAGAAGGAAAAATAAATAGAGCAAGCCTCGACTCAATAAGCACAGAATACTTACTTTCTGTGTATCAAAACAACAAATCAGAAAGAGAAAATTAATTTAAAAAGAAGAATAAGCTCTAAAATCTAGTTACCAGACTCTATGAACCCTCTGCTCATGGCCTGAGCCATTCTTCCTGCTCCTATGAATCCAACAGACATGTTCTCTGGTACGACACATCGCTTTTTACTACTACTGGCCATGATTCCAAACAAACCGGGTTTTTATCTAATTGAGTACACACGTGAATAGAAAGTAGGTCAAAGTGGTTATGTTTGATTGGCCGGTATAGGTAGAGCTACAAATGAAATTGTTTCGTATGCAAGAACATAATAGGTAGTTGGACTAAATCAGATTATTCATTGCATCAAAGTTTATCTCATCTTATCTAAAATATTTGAAGGTGTCGTATATATCATTTTTGTATTTATTAATTTCCATTTATTAGGCATTTGTTTGATTTATCGACATACGAAAATAAGTTTTACACAAAAGGGGGCGTAACCGAAAGTGAAAGTAAATAGGGTGTAAACAATTCACCTCAGATCATGAGTGGGATGTTATAAACCCATCCTGTATTTCCACGATGAAGAATAGACATTTCCTCATCTTAGTCACAGTGTTAGTGTGTATATTATCGTGTTATGAAAAATATAACAAATTAATAACATGAGATTTGACACCAGTGTCAAGATGCCAAAGAAACCAACTTGTGTTTAACCATGGGGGGGGGGGGGGAGCCCATGGTTTAACCAGAGACATGATAGGTTTATATGTCTCTGGGTTTGAAACCGAATTCAACAATGTTTTTCTCTTAAACCAATTATTGAAAACATTCTGTAAAAAACAGGGTCCTTTATGTAATGTTGACTGATTGACAACAATTTAATGCAAACATTTTTTGTTTTTTAGTGCAATTGTTTTTTGTTACTTCGGTCCAAAGCCTTCTCTATATTCCGGCTTTGAGGAGGAAGATTGAGCTGCCTTAGTATTATAAATATTGTAAATCATTGTGTCACACGCACAGTAAATATGGCATAATAATATGAAATATACCTTTATGTATAGATTTGAAGAACATCAGCTCACATCCCCGTCTGAATCTATTGTTATATTTGATTTCTTTAAGCGAGAATAATTTCAAATGTTATTCACGTCCAGAACCGGAAGCCATTTTTAGCTACAGCGAGAAAATTTCACCATGTGTCAAACTCCGAAATGAAATTTTGAAATATCTAAATCCAGACAAGCAACGCTTCATCCTAAATATGATTAATATTCTTAAAAATATTTATAAAATTTATTAAAAATGAGTTCTAGGTGCGTGTAGGTGCGTGTAGCACAGTACATACGAAATCAATGAAGTTTCGTCTAGCTGTAAGCTAGAGACTCGAGTAAGTTTTTTGTTCCTCTCTACCAGTTCTTGAGAATGAAATAAAATGTCTTTCCAAACCTTGTTGGAACGAAATAGCATATAAAACATTTTCTTAGACCTCTCAATAGTATAGTTATACAAATGAAATTTTGGTTGATTTAACAAAAAGTATTCAAAAAATTAAAACAAAACCCCTCAAGATATATGTCATTCTCAAAATTCATTTCGTTCGTTGCGTACCTTCACTACTAAGGCACAGGAGGTACGGATGGCACTGGACGAAAGGCTCGGAGACTGGATATATGTAGATAAAAATTAACATAAACCTTTTATTTCATTAACAAGATACTTTTTTAAAATCAACCAAAATTTCCTTTGCAATATTACAATATTGAGAGATATTGTTACCATTCAAAAGATGACCATTTAATTGATGATGTGTAAATTTTTAGTATTTTTTGATGACTGGTTTAGAGAAACGGTGTTCAAAAAGTTCACCATATCGATACCAATCCTTTGGAAACTAAGAAAAGTAAAATCTATAACCAATAAGTTCTGTATACTTGTGAGTACCATTTAAAGTATATTAATGTTTTAATTTAATGAATAAAGTTTATTAATAAAAGAAAACATGGATATAGGAATGAAAATCTTTTCGCATCTTCATACCATACAGCTTTACTTTGGCGAATTTCATCCATGCTGAACTTATCTACATGTAAAAATTTCAGTAATTGCCATCGTCGCTTACTACTGGGGTCGTAGGATGCGATAAGCACTTCTTCCCGTCAGGGTAATTCCTCAAAACTGTATATGTTGTTGCTACTGAAACCATTTACCAATGAATATTTTTCTGTTCCAGCCACATATTACTATGTTGTGGCCTACAGCGAAAGATGGAGAGAGAGCTCGATGGGTATCGACTGAGTCTACTGACTATTGAATTTTCATGTTGTATTTCGTGACTATGGACTATGATACTGTATCTCGTGATATAAAATATTCATCCTCAGGAGAAATGCTCAAAAGAGGTCGCTGTCTTTACAAATGACCAATCAGATCACAGAGCATATAGTGGTGAAAATTGTTTTGGTTTGTTTTCTGCAAATTTAGTTACAATCCCATGAGTATTGATATGATTAGCCACAACAATAACAAGTTATCAACATTAGTGAACGTTCTAACTCATCAGGTAAGCTAAAGATGATAAATTTAGATTGGAAGAACATTAAATATGATCTTATATTTTGTTTTGTTTTTGTTTTTTCACAGGATTTTCAATATTTCCAAACATGAAACAACATTCCTACTAGGGGTGAAACGAATACTCGAGTATTCGGTTGCAAATAGATCTGAGGTGATATTCGAATGGCATTTTGTGGTATTCGAATATTAAACGATTGACTGCGCATGCGCGCCGATTTAGTCTCCCGCCAAAACACACACAATTCTAAGGCAATCCCGATATAGATTACATGGTTACTCACCTAAGAGTCATCTGCAGGTCTTACTTGTAACCTCTGAGCACTGCTGATTAATCCAGTGGCATCCATAAGAGTAAAATACTTGAATATAAAGTTAAGAACACTTGTTTGTATGAGAGGCAATCTGCGCCAGGTTCGTTTTTAGGTTCGGTTTTTAGCGCATGCGCTTGGAGTACCAAAAATGGAGGAATTTGACGGTTGGAATAAGTTAAATATTACACGCAAATATTGCGATCAAAAACGAAAATTTCTTTGTTCTGCCGATATACCCAGACAAGTGTGGATTCATCTACACGAAAAGAATGCTAAAATACCCAGGAATCTATTGAAGTAGGTATCTTAAGTGTAAGGGGCGTAGATAATTCTCCCAAGTTGTAATTGTACAGGCAAAAGAATGCGCTCGTTACAGGACTATAGTCCTGGCACGGGATAAGGCTGCACAATCGTCATTTAAAATTTTGAAATGTTTTTAGTGTCTCATCTGGAGGAATATTCATTGAGCTACTGATCCTATTACAAAAGAATCTGGCCGGGATCTATGACACATGCCTTCATACTTAAAGTTTATTCTGTACCAAAAAATAACATGTGCAGGTGTAGGAATTAGGGCTGAAACGAATAGTAAATTCTCATACTGAATATTCGGCCAGCTAATCCCCGTTCGGCCCCAAATATTCGTTAAAAACAAGTGATATTTATGTTAATGACCATGTTGCGTATTAGTCTATGAAAAAAGATCTAAAATATTAATTAAAAACTAAGTAGATTTTAAAGCTGTTAAGTACCAAGTGTTTCTGCTCCAACCATGTTGCCAAGCTATGTGTGCTACACTCGTTTGGCGCTTGACAAAAAGTCTTAAAGATTTTTTCTTAAAAATTTAAAGTTAAAATCTTTTCCTTTTGTTTTCTCCGGTTCATTAAAAATGTAATTGTTAATCTTAAGATCTTCCTGCGATTTTGAGAAAACATATGGATTGTCCTTATCAGAGAGTTTGAGATCTTTAGAAATTCTAACGAAAATAGAAGCCCAAAATTCTATAGCTCGGAAAAAGACTTCAAATTTTAAAGTGCAGATGTATGAAAATTGGCAGAAGTGTTCATATTTTAGATTACCTCTTGTTATTATTGCACATTGAAATAAGCTAGATCGCCATCATCTTAATGTACCAATACAAGTACAAGTGATGATTGTAATACTAATCATGATTACCTTTAGCCATGTCTAGGCTAACCTGATATGGGAAATCAAATTATGAAAATATCTATATGTGATGTAACTTGGATAAATGGACAATATAGATAATATTTACAGGGTGGTCAAAAGAGGTGAATAATTACTATGTACAAAGCATAGTTCATTGAACCTATAATGCTAATCTTGGGTTAAACAAGTCAATGTTCGATAGGGGAAGATTTTGGAACGCACAAGTAAAAAATGCGGAAAAAACTTTCGGCCCCTTAAACCAAAAAGTAGGCCCACTTATAGGCCCCTAAAAATGTTTGGCCCAATTTTTTCATTATAGTGATATCCCAGACATTGAATATCTTTATAATTTTTTATTTGTGTTTTATTTGTGCTTGATCAACAGATTACATAATATTACCTAATGGATAAATATGTGATAGTAAGCATGGCCTTGTTGTTACAGACATGATGTGAGGAAAGTGTACCAAAAGCACCATCCATTGACATACTACCTCAGCCAACATAGCACAACTCAGGATTGAACATTGCTCAAAGGTAAGCAAATCTAGGGGTTTTGTATTTGGTATCCAGCTTTTCAGGGTATAAAAAAATCTTATTTCAGCAAAAAAACTAATTTCAATTACCGGTATTATTTTATCACTTAAATTTTCATTGTGATTTATGGTTTGACTACCTAACACAAGTTTAGATTACTTTTATACGGTATTTACTTTGATATAAAGTCAAATTTCTTTGGACGTCACTTGACAAATATCATGAGGTAATCATGGGAGTCCACCCTCCTTGACTAATATATAGTACAATTAGTCCCTTCTCTAAACCACAAACTTGTGTATCATTTTCAATTACCTCAGGCAGGATAGTTATTATATGATGGTACTGAATGTAACACAGTGCTTGGAAAGCACTGTCACCACCATTAAGCTTAATATACCAAGAGGGCATCATGTTCATTTTGTTTTTGCAAATTAAATGTGGAGATAAGGCTAATAAATAAATAAATTGTTGTATTTTGAATCACATATGAATCTGGTAGATTTTACAGTACATACAGTACCAATACAAACATATGTGAAGTCGATTCTGTACTCTTTAAACAGATAAAGATGGTGCTTTATAGTGAATAAGTTTTTCTATTTACCGGTAGATTGTTTCTAGAAAGAGTGTAGTTGACTTAGTTGAGAACGAAGCCTT